TTACACTCACAAGCATTTACCCCTTCAGGCAGGGAACACGTCTACCTCTGGCTTGGCGTAGTGCATTGGTGTCCCCATGCTGAGCGGAGTCTTTGCAAACCATCATTTACCATGATACGCCCAGAGGTCTCATCTAAAATGACCAATGGCCTTTGTGCAGGTGGCGGGGTGAGGCAGGATAGGGCGGGGGATGGGGCACAGAGCACAGGCGCCCGGGTAAAGCGCTCCCCTTTCTTTGCTGGGTTTTGTTCACAAGACAGCGAAGTGGAGCTTGTCTCCAAAAGCCCATCAGCTTCCACTAACCTATCTGCAAAGCCATGAGCAAGCCCTCCTCCCACGGTGCTTGAAGCTGCCCAGGCCCAGTGCTTTGCTGGTGTTTGCATAGGAGGCGCCTTAGCAGCCGAGTCTGGCTTATTACAAACGTGTGTCCATGGCATGAGATGAAAGCTGAACACGGGACTAGCAACGGGGCTCCTGCATAGCCTGAATCCAGACCCATGCTCCTGAGGGGGCTGTGCTCCATGGGTCCCGCTCACTTCCTGCTGCCCGGACCCCCCAGCTCCATCCCACTGAACGCGTGTATGATTGATTGCTGTAGAACTCGCTTGAATAAGAGTAATTATACCAGGTGTCCCACTCAGCACAGGGAATATGCTCACCCTTCCTAGCGTTAGCATCTGCTGGGCTGGTCTGTATCACATAGAGCCAGGCACAGTAGTGCCCCCTATCCCCAGTGCAGGGAGAGGAAAGGGCTGGTGGGGGGAGTCAGCTCTCCAGTGCCACTTATTCCTTCACCTGGGTCAGAGGAATGTGGCTCCCCGTGGCTCACACCAGCGGATGGGCCTGTGCATGCAAATGCAAGTGAACTGTGTTGTGCCCTGCAGGCATCTACAGAGGTGTAGAGCCCATAGCCAGGTGCTGGGGAGAAAGGCTGAGCAGCGGGGGAAATGCAAGACTCTCGGAGTAAGAGCTGACTGGTTGACAGGAGGGAAGACAGATATCTCCCCGCCCCAGCATAGAGAGATGAGAAGGGACCTGGGAATTGCCAGAGATAGGGAGGCTGTTCCTGTTAATGCAGCCAGTGTGGACATTGGGCTACTGCTCCCACCCTCTCCACTGTGGAGGGACTTGGTGGGGGCAGAAAGAAGAGGGACAATGAGTATAAGAAACTGGCTGAAGAAAATCAGTCCCCAGGAGGTCACGTATGTCTAGATTGCATCCCTCTGTTGGCAGAGGGATGCAGTTTAGGCAGGTCAACATTGCAAATAAGGCAGGGATTTAAATATCCCGTGCCTAATTTGCATAAAAATGGCCACCATGTTTTGCCCACTCAGCACTTTGTTGGCAATAAGCAGCAGTCTAGAGGGGGATCTGTCGAGAAAGAAATCCTTTTTCGACAGATCCCTTATGCCCCTGCGAGGAGGTTTACAGGATCTGTTGAAAAAGGCTTTCTTTTTCGACAGATCCCCCTCTAGACTGCTGCTTTTTGTCAACAAAGTGTTAAGTCGGCAAAATGCGGTGGCCATTTTTATGCAAATTAGGCACGGGATATTTAAATCCCTGCCTCATTTGCAATGTTGACCTGCCTAATCTGCATCCCTCTGCCAACAGAGGGATGCAGTCTAGACATAGATAGGGGAGTTGGGGATAAATCCATGGAGATGAGATGAGATGGAGAGTGGAGGAGGTGGGGTTTGGATGGAGATAAAGGGTCCTGGAGAGGAGGTCACATGAGGAGTGGAGGAGGTTTGGGGGGTGGATAAGTCCATGGAGGGCCATGGAGAGGAGATTACATGTGTAGGAGCGACAAGGAGTCCTGTGGCACCTTATAGACTAACTGAAGTGTAGGAGCATAAGCTTTCGTGGGCAAAGACCCACTTCGTCAGATGCAGATTCAGACTAACACGGCTACCCCTCTGATACATGTGTAGGGTGGGTCAGTCCACGGAGATGAGGAGGGTTTTAGAAATGGACTTAATAAACATAATGAAGGTTTCCCCATGACAAAGGCAATGAGCTGCTCCTTCTGGGCACATTGGAAAAAATGAACCATTGGACGATTCGGACAAACAGTGCAGTCGGGACCTCACGAGAGAGACATGAGATACAGGGGCCTGCCCTGAATCACTTAGAGCTGGGCTTGCCAAGCGGGAAGGTAGCCCACCCTTAGACGGAGACGGCTGAAAAGGGGCACAGGCTGAGACGAGACTGCAGGGCTGGCAGACTTATGCCTTGTGTTGGTAGGGGACTATGCCGAGGGTTGAATTCTGGGGAGTGAATTGAATAAGGTAAGATGGAGTGCAGCGAAAGAGTTTGGGTAGCCCTTGCATGGTGGAAGGCATGCAGATGTTAGCCAAAAGAGCATGTAGGGAAGGGAGAATCCCAAGACAAGCAGCTTAGAGAAATAGGCAATGGGTCTGTGCTCCAAGAAAAAAAGTGTGAATAGGATGCACAGCATCATGGAGGCATGAGCTGGCAAGGGGCCTAGAGGCTGGATGGGGGCTTGAAGCAATAGAAAAGAATTATTTTGGATCGGTGGCGTGAGGTGAGGACCCAAAAGGAGGAGCTAGCGGGGAAGGGCACATTGACATTTGCAGGAAAGGACTCGGGGAGTCCAGAAAAGAAGGAACCACAGGACTTGTAACAAACAGAGAAGGTGGCATGGCTCGGCGTTCTGCCCCAGGAGCAGACCTGGCTGAGGACATGTGATGGTGGCCACAGCGATCAGGAGGGGTCACAGGAAAGTTGGGCTCTGGAGTCTGACTTTGCAGCCTGGGCCCAGCTCTCTGTTGTAGGCCGATTCAGAGAACCGGCAACTGTGAAATGGAAAGCACGCTCTGTCGTCCAGTCCACATCTCAGCCTCTTGCAGTGGAGATGAGTGTGAGCTGAGGCTGGACATGGCGGAGTTTTCTCAGAGGATGCTCCTCTGTGTACAGGCTCTTGACTGAGCAGCATAACCTAAATAAACTTACCACCCAACTCTAGTTTCTCCTGTTCAGATGAGGCTCTATAATGCCTGAGCTTTCTGAATATTTTCTTTTGGTTACTGTGGGTTTTTAACTGTTGTCTTGGAGGAGGAAGCAAGCATGCAGACTGCTTGGTTCCGGGGGGAAGATAGTTCCTTCTATGACACCAAATTACTGCCAAATAAAGCAGAGAAGACACCCTATTATCTGGGTCTGTGCTTTACAGGGAGACATTAGTGGAACTGCTATAAATTGAATGTGGGTTGTAGATGTTTTTAGGCTTACGCTCAAAGGTGGCTCTCCAATTCTGGGGGGCGGGGAGCCCTGAGCCTTGGAGGCTGGATCTAGCCTCTGGGCCTTAGGTTCACCACCCCTGAATTAAATGATCACTTATCTAGATTTTGAACAAAGAAGTTAAATATCTCATTTGATCTCCTGTTACTGAAGGAGCATCTCAAGCTTTCAACCAAGCTTTGTTATTACAGATAGGTGGTAAAAAGACAGATTCTGTCCTAAAGAACTTTTGGGACCGCGTCTCACATACATCAATGCTCCTTAGCACTGCTGTGGGAGTGGATAGGGGCCTTGAGATGGGTGCGAATGGCTGTAAAGTAGCTGCTTTAAGATTCCTTTACAGCTAACATTGTAGTGCAAATAAGAATCAGGACGACAATCCCAATATATAAGGCAGTGGGAGAAAGGAGGTTTTGCTGTTTTAGAGATTATATTATTTGTAATTTTAAATATACATAGATTATTAGAAGCAAAGTCATTTTAAAACAACCAATTGACTTGTTAAAACATAGCCCCCTTACTTCTGTGCTGCTTTCAGCACTGGGCAACCGGATAGGGATGGTTGTAATATCAGGTGCCCAGCTCTGAAGGCAGCACTCTGCCAGTAGCAGCACAGAAGTATGGCTGGCAATACTACGTCCATGTTGCCTTTACTTCTGTACTGCTGCTTTCAGTGCTGGGATCCCTGAGTGTAGCAGCTGCTGACTGAGGACCAAGCTCTGCAGGCAGCAGTGCAGAAATAAAGGTGGCAACACCAAACCAAGCCATCCTTACTTCTGGGCTGCTGCTGGCAGTAGCTCTGCCTTCAGAGATGGGCTCTCAGCCAGCAGCCACTGCTCTCCAGCTGCCCAGCTCTGAAGGTAGCACCTCCACCCACAGCAGTGCAGAAGTAAGGGCAGCAGGGCTGCAAACCCCCTACCACAACCTTGCAGCCTTCACATGACTCCTTATTGCATCAGGCCCCCCACAATTACAACACCATGACATTGCAGACTGAAATATCTGAAAGCATGAAATTTACCCTTTTAAAAATCCTATGCTTGAAATTGACCCAAATGAACCATGAATTTGGTAGATCCCTAGGTATAATTTCCACCGGAACCGGCAGAAGCTGCATTCGGTCCATTGCATTTAGTCCGTTTAACTTTCTGATTTAAGGCTAGTGTGTTCGGGTGTCCAAATTTTAAACCCAGGAAAAGCCACTTCCTTTGACATTTCCAAACAGCCCACACCAGTTCTAGTCATGCTGAGCTTTGGGACATCTTTAATTAAATAGACCCTAAACCTGGGGCCTAAACTCCCTCAGACAGTTTCTTTGAAATGATTTCAGACAGACATGAAGGTCAACAGGAATGGATTTTGTAACCCTTGCTCTGAGACCACGCTGACCGTGAATTTGGCTGCCCTCCAGTCCTTTCATTTCCCTATTCAAGAATTGGCCTGGAAAGTGCTTTTATTGTAACGTGGCCCTTTTTTGTTCTATGAAAGAAACAGAGCTAAGATGACAGGACTTCTTCAGCAACGAGGCAGCCGTAGTGTGTGCGTGTGCAGTGCAATATGTACTCAGAACTGCTTGCGAAGCAGTGTCCGAGGCGATGGACAGCAAGCAGGATGTTAGCTATTTGTCTCCCACACACTGAATCATTTCCACTGAGTGCCCTGCAGGGCAGACGGAATAGCACTTACACCGACGTTCACCTCCTCCTACTCAAGAGGATTTTGTTTCTGGTTAATTTCAGGACCTTTCTCGGGAGAACATTAGGCTATACTTGCAAGTGCTGCAGAGCGACAATTGCAGCTGTGGCTGGGGGCTGCTGCTGACAGCTCAGCAGATGCCTGCGGAGCAGTAATGGGTGGATAATAAGGAGCACCTCTGCCAGGCACCAGTGGCTCTGAAGCCAGGACACAGTCGACAGATCCTGATTCCAGTCAACAGAGTCGATACAGAATAACTCTAGGTAAATATATTGCCTCCATCACCGTGTCTGGATCCACTCCCTGAACAATATACACATCAAAACAGGGCTGATAAACTCCACCCCACCATACATGTTGCTGAAGGAGGTATCATATATACATGTGTCAGACGTGTGGGAGGGTGAGGTGGTGCAAGGGGGGTGTGTGTGTGTGTGTGTGTGTGTGTGTGTGTGTGTGTGTACGCACACACAGGTGCCTTTACTATACATGGGCTAGTAGAGTAGTGGTTGCCTGAAGCCAAGTCCCAAGAGGTGGTTTGTTGGGCCCGTTCCGATTTCTGGATGGGTGGTGTCCCAAAGCAAACCATGCTGACAGGCAGCCAAGCCCTGGGTCTCTGAGAGCTGCACCTTGCCCCTTGCCAGCCAGAGTGTTCCTGATGTGCATAGCTCACAAAAGGAGAGGCTCTTGGAGGCAGTCAGGGCTCAGGTCAGGGCGGGTGCATTAGCCCCAGGGCCTGGCAGCCGATTCAGCACTGCAGAGGCAGCCAGACGTGCATGGCACGCAGATGAGAGACATACTCCTGACACTCCACCCTGCGCATGAGGTCAACTGCTGCGTGCTGGACAAGATGGTGTTTCCTGATGGTGCTGACTTCCCTCCCCCCGTGGCAGCCCAGACACACTCATCAGGGCTGGAGGTAGCGAGAGAGGGGGTCACAGTGGCCTAGATCATCACCTGCCAGCCAGGAATGCAGCCTCCGGACTAGAGTCCAACAGGACCCTGCTACTATACTCCTCCTTTTCGAGTGGGGAGCAAGTGTCCTCGAGGCAAAGGTTAGCTATGGCTTCAGCCAGCTCTTTAGGGCATCTCCTTCTCTCCCTCTTGCCTGGGTTGAATTTTACCCAGCTGCTCTCCATCATCCCGTCTGGGCTCTAGAGCTTATGCTGCCTGCACATGACAGGAGATGTAGAGCTGGGAGTTTTGGTGGCACTTAAGTCAATAGCATCTCATAGTCTCATACTTAGATGTCTGATCTACATAAGAACATAAGAACGGCCGAACTGGGTCAGACCAAAGGTCCATCTAGACCACATCTACATATGGACGAGCACAGAAGTGGGGCTTGTGGGACTGCACCCGGGGAACATCGAACCCAGCATCCTGGCCCTTTGGAAGGTCATGAAAGAAGCCAGCGGAGTCGCTCTGGATTTGCTTTTGGGAGTCAGTGGATTTCCACGAGGCACAGCCAAGATCAATATTTGCCGTCCCGAGAAGGGAGAACGCTCTGCTTCCCTTTGGCCCCTCCCCTCTGCCCTTTCCCCCCATCTCGGTCAGCACTTGATGAGTCATACGCGCACACTGACATTCTTCCATCCCACTCCCAGTCCTTGCTCTGCCTCTCTGGAAAGGTCGTCCTGCTCCCTTTTGTGTCCTTGCATTGCTTGGCTGTCACTCCCATGCGATTCCTCTGATCACTCCATGTAGATGGAGTTGATGTGGGCGGGTGTCAGATGGCCAAGAGCCCAAAGAGACACAGCAGGTTTTGTCTTAGGAATTTAGGATATTTGCTCAAACAAAGGGGGAGACGGGGCAGCTCTCCAGACCCAGCAACCAACTAGCTTCATGTTGCAAAAAGTAATGCACAACAGAACACTAAAAGACAATAGACCATTGTGAGCTGGTGGTGTTCATATGGCCAATCCAAACAACAAGTCCAGTAGTGAGTCTACTCCAGCCTGCTGATTAACCAGATACCAGTAAGCATCACCCAAGAAAACTAACCTGTTATATCCCTAGTACAGACCTGTGAGGATCCAGGTCTAAGTGACACATATCCACGGTCTCACAGAAACACTGTGACAGAGCCAGGTTTTGAATCCACATCTCAGCATCATAGTGAAGCTCAACTGTTCTCCATTCAGTTGTTTTTCTCTCAGCCTGAGGGAACTTCCCCCAGCTGATTCCTCCTTCTTTGTCCTCACAAAGAATGACCAGGAAAAGCACTCAGGGCTTTCACTTTATATTAGCAAAGCACTGGGCAAACTTCAAGCAGAACAATGAGCCAGCCAAAGCAAGATCATTACTGTATGAGTAGTGCTAAGGGATTATTTCTGAGTTGCTAGGCGCTTCTCATAAACACACGTGGCAGTGATGAGCCACAGATAAACGGGTAAAGAGACTGTCCCTACCCCCAGGCACAGAGTCTATGTTCACACATGGCACAAGTGGGGGTGGGGTCACCAGCCAAAAGAAAGGGGAAGACAAGTAGAAACAGAACTGGCTTTGGAGTACTAAAGGTGCGTGCACACGATAGCAGCTCTGCTACAGATCTGCATGGACACTCTCCACATTGACAGGGGGAGGGGTTTCCCTAGATGTAGTTAATCCATTTCTCCAAGAGACGGTAACTAGATCTAAGAGAATCCATCACTTGACCTGCTTCTGCAGTGGGGAATAGGTCCACTTAACTGTGTTACATAGGGTGCAAAATTTGTCCCAGCCCTGAGCAATGGTTATGCCCAGGAGCCAGGGGGCAAAGGTAGTCCCGATCAGCAGTCAAAGTTCATGCAAGAGATCCCGTGGCTGGAAGATGCAACCCAAAGGGAAGCTGTGGCAGTGTTTGGTGGGGCCAGGTGAGGCAGCAAAGCAGGAAGGCTCAAGAAGCAACTAGAAGCCAATAACTTGTTGCTCAGACAGTGTCAGCTGAGAAGCAAGAAGTTTATATATAGTCACAAGCCAATCAGGACCAAGACCCTGTGGCCAATCAGGATGCAGGTGACTGAACTCTGGAATTTGGCCCATCTGAGACTATGGCTTCCCTGTACTCCCATGTGGCATGAAGGCCAAGACAGCATCCCAGAAAACCCCACAGGGGTGGGCTTGGTGCTGTAGCAAGAACAACATGATCAACCCCCAGCTACTGAACAAGGGCCTGCTCCCAAATCCTCTGAAGTTTGTATAAGTCTGTCCACTGACTTCAACAGGCCTGGAGACCGGCACCCAGGCATATGCACCTCTAAGCGTGATCTGTGTTGTTTATCACAGGGAAGATTGCAACACAGTGCCACTCTTGGCAGCAATGGTGGGAGTACAAACGTAGCCAACGCCCCCATCTCTGCTGGCCTCTGGGCACCTTGACATTTAGACCTAGAGTTGCAAAATCACGAATCAGTCTGTCCTCCTCTCTCACTCCCAAAACAACACCTCCAAGTCTGTGGTGGACAACAGGGAAGGCACATGACGATCTAACCACCGAAGTAATGTTCACCAAACAAAATGACAGGGGTGGTTTGAAAACCAGATACTGACTGACTGACCCTTAATTGTCACCACATGAATCCAGGACCTGAGGCTTGCAGAAAAGCAGTTTGTAGCAGTTTCTCAGCCCATGATTTCCCCCTGTAATTGTTTTCTTTTCTAAGTCCATTGCTGGCTCTGGGGCATCAACCAAGCTCTTTGCTCCCTGGCTTCAGAAATAGGAGGCTAGCAGAAAAGGAGAAGGCTTGAAGCACGTTTTTCAGGTTTCTGGCAGACCATCTGAGCACCTTGAAGCAAACCCTGGCCTTCCATCCAGAGGGGACTAGACCCTGTAACGAGGGCTGTTGAGTAAAGCAACATGCACCGCACTGAAGCAGTTTGTCAGAAGCAAACGAAACCATGAGAAAGGAAAGCAGAACCACACGGGAGGGGTGGAAAAGAAGACACAGCTTAGTTCCTTATGTGTAGTTTCCAAAGAGATACTGGGTATTTTCTGCAGATGATGTGGAACAAGATAACCCTTGAGGGAGCAGGTTGGCTTACTCGTTAGTTACCTGGAAGCATGAACTCTTGGCGGTTTATTTTGTGGTGTGCCTCATGAGCTTATTGAAAGGGCATAAGAACAGCCACACTGGGTCAGACCAACAGTCCATCCATCCCTGTATCCTGTCTGCCGACCGTGGCCAATACCAGATGCCCAGAGGGAGGTAACACAACAGATAATCCTCACGTGAGACCTCCCCTGTCACCCACCTCCAGAGGAACAGAGGGTAGGCTCATAGCCATTGAACTAGAACTAGTGAAAATGGAGCAAGGTTTTAATGGGTGCTCCAGTTCATCCCCACATTTATGGCCACTGGGAATTCTTACAGGCTGGAAAGTGGATGATTCAGGAGACTGAAAATTGGATCTGAAGCCTTTGGCCAGGAGGGCGCTCACCTGAATTCATGGTAACAGCTGGCATTATTACTATACGATGGCTGCTTGCTGGCCTGTGTGGAATCGATTGGCCCATTACCTCATGGAAAAAGGAAAACAAACACCCCTTGCATGCAGTGATTGTCACCAGTGCTGGCAGAGTGGGCAGAGGAATCCTTCCTGGACACAGAGACTGAACTAACCTCTCATCTCTCTCAGCTATGGTCCCCCCGGGCAGAATTGAGGCCCCTATGTGGGGCAGTTGGCGGTGCTGCTGTCTGTCTCTACCTGACCTGGGCTCATGTCTCGAGTCCTGTCAGATCTTGCATCTTTCACCAGTGCTTGGACTCCCCGGAAATAAAAGCACAAATGAAAATTCCAGGCCTGGATGAAACGAACGTTAGCAGGTTTTCAGCCCTGCCTACCTTGTAGCTCAGCAGTGAACCCAACCCAGACCAAACCATTCATGACAGCATGGGTAATGGAGTCAGCCAGCAAACCAGAGTGAATGTAGTTGTCTGCTCAAGGGAATGAACAGCTCCCACCTTGAGAGCCTAAAAACAGAACAAGAGCACCACAATGGTTTAGGTTTTTGTTTCCCACAGTCCACTTCCTCTTGCTTGGATGCTGGTTCCTTCCTAACGCTTAGCCCAGCATGAGGGGATTTGCTTTGATGCTTAGAGTCCATCTCTGTAGGAAAAGAGCCAAATCACGTCACAACTTTGCTCTCTATCAGTGTTTGCAGCCTGATCTAGGACATGATGCAGGAACATCATTATAACAGGGATTCTGTTCCTTCCACTCAAGCAAGCTCAAACTTGGGTCTTCTGCCTAGCAGTTTCCTAGTGTAGACAACCTCTTGGCTAGTGTAGGTGGATCTCTAGCACAGGGATGCTGAAGCTGGCTGAACCCAGGGTGAAGTTCTCAGGGACTGAGGATAGAATCTTGACTCCATCCCACCAGAACTCAGAATGAGCCCAGATCTCCTCCAAAGGGATGACTTGTCTGTCTGGAGGGGCCTTCCCACAACTCAGAAAAGCACCTTCCTAGAGTTAATCTTTAAAAAGAAAACTTTCCTCCTACACCCTAATTAAAGGAAAGGAGACCACACCTCCTTGTGGCAGCATTCTGCTTATAATTCACAGGTCTCACTGGTATCCACATACCAGATATTGCAGTGTGAGAATATGAATCCTTAGCAGGAGAGAGATTAGAAGTCATAACTAGGGGAGAGGCAGAGAGAGGGGCTCAGAGCCCCTCTAAAGGGGCAGTCCCTCCCCATATCACAGCACACATGTGGGAGGAATGGAGAGAGACTTGGACACCCTGAGAGGGGTACAGTGTCCCCTCGACCCCCGCAAAAAAAAATCCCCAAACCCTGGCACATGAACTGTAATCATACAGGATTTTTTCTTATAGTTATCAATTCCCTTTCCAGTCTTTTCACTAGTGGTTAATAAGGCCGCACTGTTCTCACAGCTTGGACATGTTCCATTGTAGGCTGGCCTCGAAACGGACCAGTTTTTCTGGTACGCTTGTGAAACTCAGAGACTAGGTTTCTCCATAGGAAAGGAAAGGTGATCTTGTAATTAAGACACTAAAGTAGGCCTCAGAAATTCTGTGTTCAATTACCAGCCATGTCATAGGCTTCATGTGGGACCTTATGCAAGTTCATTAATCAGTCAGTGCCTCAGGGTGCCCATTTGTAAAACGAGGGTAATAAAATTCCTTTATATCTGTTTCAGTTGGGGGGATCTTCAGGGCAGGGCTTGTTACTCAAGATGTGGATGGTACAGCACCTCGCACAATGAGGCCCGGATCTCAACTGGGGCCTGTAAGCACTATAGCCTTATAAATAGCAATCATTAAAGTGTGACTTGTCTGTTCTGCCCTGTGACGCGCTGTCTTGCTGCAGTGCCAGCATTTTTGCACCTAAGTGCAAGACTCTCCCATTTCAATGAGCCACCCCTGCATTTGCTGACTCTTTGCTCCCTGTTTTCTAGGGCCATGGAGAAATTCCCGGGTCTGCGCTCCTGGAACACCAGTGCCAACTTGTCCACCGGCGACTGCAGTGTGGAGGACAACACGTACAAGTGCAAGTTTGACGAGGAGTTCAAGTACATTCTGCTGCCTGTCTCCTACGGCATTGTGTGTGTGGTGGGGTTGTGCCTCAACCTGCTGGCCCTCTATGTCTTCCTCTTCAGGATCAAGATCTGGAATGCCTCCACCACGTACATGTTCAACCTGGCTGTGTCTGACACACTCTATGTCATATCCCTGCCCTTGCTGGTGTATTACTACGCCAAGGGGGACAACTGGCCCTTCAGTGTAGCCTTGTGTAAAATAGTCCGTTTCCTGTTCTACACCAACCTCTACTGCAGCATCCTCTTCCTGCTCTGCATCAGCATCCACCGTTTCCTGGGCATCTGCTTCCCGCTGAAGTCGCTGCAGTGGGGCCGCGTCCGCTACGCACGGAGGGTATCGGGTGTCGTTTGGTTGGTCATAATCACGTGCCAGTCGCCGGTGCTCTTCTTCGTCACCACCAGCGTGAGGTGCGAGACCATCACCTGCCACGACACGTCGAGCAAGGAACTCTTCGGCCAGTTCATCATCTACAGCTCGGTGATGCTGGTGCTGCTGTTCTGCATCCCTTTCCTGACCATCATCGTGTGCTATTGCCTCATGACTCGGAAGCTGCTGCAGCCCACCCAGGGGACCTCCCGGATGTCCAACTCCAAAAAGAAGTCAGTCAAAATGATCATCATCGTCCTGGTGGTCTTCATCATCTGCTTCCTTCCTTTCCACATCACTCGCACCTTGTACTACTCCTTCCGAAGCTGGGACCTTAGCTGCGAGACCCTCAATGCCATTAACTTAGCCTACAAAATGACCAGGCCCTTAGCTAGCACCAACAGCTGCCTGGATCCCATTTTGTACTTCTTAGTAGGCCAAAGGTTTGTCAAATTTGCCGGCCACAAAATGCCAATGAAAACTCCAAACCAAAAGGCATTGGAGAGCACTCCCAACACCAACACAGAAACCAGCAACAACCTAGATATCATAGTCAAATTGTGAAACCCCAGCCTGCTACATTTCTGTCCACTGTCCCACCCCATTGTGGATTATTCTGTCTCCCTTGTGGAAGAACTTCTCCACTGTGTGAGGAGGAGTCTGGCACGTTGCCACAGTGCAGGTGGAATCCACTAGTGAGTGTGTTACAAGTCTCCGCAAAGGACCCGAGTTGTCGCAGCCCGCAGCTAGAGGGCCTGACTTGCACTAAGGCTGCAGCAGCTCAAGCTTTTAGCGCTGAAGGGCCCTGGTTCAACTTGTGGTGTATTAGTCAAGATGGCAGCTCTCACGCAGGCAGTGGAGTCCCTAGACTCAGGGGAACTGACAGCTTGCGCAGGCCCCTAGGCAAGGAAGGAGGCAGCTCCATGCTTCCAGAAGGGAAGGAGCCTTGGGCCGAAGGGGTGGGACTGAGGCAGCCAGCCCTCTGTGACTCCCCTCCCCTCATAATGCTCTATCAGCAATTTAAAGGGCTTGTAGCTCTGGCTACCACTGCTGCTGCCATAGCAACATCAGTGGCCAGGAACCTTGGCCCCTTTGAATCAGTAGACCGGAGGGCAGTTGTCCCCTTTGCCTCTCTCTCTTGGCGGGACCTAGACTTCAGGTGTCCTGTGTGAGTAGAAATGTTCAACAAGATACACCTGCGTGAAGGTCACCGGTTTAATGACTTTTGGGAACTAAGGGGCTGCTAAAGTGATATATAAAAATCCCATATGCATGTCCTCCTTCAGCTCTGCAACCCAAATGCTTCCTCACCAAACCCGCTCTTCTGCCTGACACTGGGTGGTGTCTATCCAACAGGGAGCAAAGACTACCTGGCGCATGGTTGTCAGTCCAAAGAAATGACAATGCACAGTAATATAAATACATTTCATGGTAAATGTTTGTACTGGCTTTTCAAAAACACATTTTTTCAACTCCCCACTCCAATCTGCCGGTCACTGAACTTTTCAGCTTTTCACAAAATTTTGTGCCACATTTCCTGTTGAAATTTTTATTTAAAAAAAAAAATTGCAATTGACAAAAAAACAGTTTTCTCTTTGTAAAAAAGGTCAGTAATTATTCCGACAAGTTTTAGTCCACTTATTGATTTAAAATATCACAGAAAATGAAGCCCTGAAGCATAGGAAAAAACCTTTGACATTTTTTACCAAATCATTTGCTATTTTTTATCCAGCCTCAATGCATTTAGCAGGGATGTTTTTATTGATCATACCAGAGCCAGGCTTTTATCGATCATACCAGAGCCAGGCTTTTATCGATCATACCAGAGCCAGGTTTTTATCAATCATACCAGGCTTTTCCTCTTTCTGCAAGCAGAAAAATACTATCAGCAAGGTCTTTTCCTCCTGGGCAAATATTTAGCACAGGAAAGGAAAGTATATAAATTATAAGGCTGAAAGGAAACAGAAAAACTCCCCAGCAAGGAATTCTGCCCAGTTTTAGGAGTTGTCTGACCTTTCCAAATGCAATAATCCTCTGTCTAGCTAGCAAGTATCTCATCACAGAGCTTTTCTCCAGAGAGCTGCACTGAAGTTAACCCCTTATTCACCAGAGACTTGATAGTGCTGACTTACCCAGTCACACCCACATTCTACAATCTTTTCCAAAGCCAGAAAGCCTCCGAACTGCAGCTTTTACTAATTGCCCAATACTAACTTCTTTTGGGTGAGGTTTTCTTGTTAAATGTTTTAAATGTTTAAAAAGTGATAGGCCTTTCATCAAAAACCTAGCCACTTAATCCAGGGCCGGAGTGGAAGGTCCAGTCTATGCTATCACTCTGTGGTCACCAACCAGTAGATCAGGAACTACTGGTAGATCTTAGAGCCTCTGACAGGTGATCCTTACTGGTTTGGCCATGTGGCTATCAAGTACCAGCACTTCCTCCCATGGCTGTGCATTGCTAGCCCTTTGCCTTGGAGCTGTTCCCCCAGGAGCCTCCTGCTTGCTGTGCAGGGCGGGAGAGGGAGAGGAGGGTGCTGATGTCACGGTGCCCCCTTCTCCCACTCTGTATCCTATCTCCACAGAGCAGAGAGGGGGCACAACAGGATGAGGAATAGAGCAAGTTTCCTGGTTGCTTTTGGGAGTGGTGTAGGGCTAGGGCAGGGGTGAACCTTTCTTAGCCCCACTGCACCACCACCCAGGAGCCACCTGAGGTAAGCAGTGCCTAACTGGAGTCCACATCCTGAACCCCTACCCAAGTCATGAACCGCCTCCTATACCTCAAGCCCCTGCCCTAGCTCTGAGCCTCCACGCATCCAAACACCCTCCCAGAACCTGCACCTAGAACCCCTTCCTGCAACTCAACTGCCTGCCCCAAGCTCAGCTCAGAGCCCCTCATACTCTAAATCACCTTAACCTAAGACCAGAACCTGCACCCCTAGCCCTCTGCCTGAGCCTGGTGAAAATGAGTGAAGGTGGAGGAGGGTGGGAGGATGAAAGGAATTTTTTCTTCTCTCCGTGCACAGTCAACCTCCGGAACAACTTGTCAGAGGATGTGGTGAAGGGTAGGACTTTAACAAGGTTAAAAAAAGAGCTAGATAGATTCATGGAGGTTAGGTCCATCAATGGCTATTAGCCAGGATGGGTAGGAATGATGTCCCTAGCTTCTGTTTGTCTGGAAATGGGTGACAGGAGAGGGATCACGTGAGGATTACCTGCTGTGTTACCTCCCTCTGGGGCATCTGGTATTGGCCACTGTCAGCAGACAGGATACTGGGCTAGATGGACCATTGTTCTGACCGAATATGGCTGTTCTTATGGGTATATTGTGGAATTTATCATATTATCTCCACTCATGGAGAATAGGGGTTTCTGGTTAATTGAATGTGCTGGATAACAAAGCTTATTGCTCAGCCCCCGCCCCCTACTGGCAGATCAGGCTCTTGGCAGCTAGAGGCAGGCTGAGGGGGAAGGAGGCACCTGCTAATAATATCAGCTGGCAGTGCCAGCTGTCAGAAGCCCTGCAACGGCCAGTTGGACAGGCCAGAGTCAGGTGCCCACACCTGGTGGTGTTACAGCTGGGGGTAATGCCGGTTAACAGCATTTTCCAGTAAACAGAGTGCCAGATAACAAAGCATTCACTGGAGTGAACGTGACTCCTCAAAGTCATGCTCTAGCATGACCTAATTTTGTATTGCAGACAAGGCAAATGGTGTAACTGATTTACACCATCTGAAGTTCTGCTCCTATGGAGCCAGCAGCAGAATTCAGAGTAAGGTGCCCATCTTTTTTAAAATAAATGTGCACCCTCTCTAATAACTGCATGTGCTTGTCTCCTCCCTGTTGACATTTTCACAGGGTTGAGATCACCAGCAGAACAAAACTTCACATTGCTCAGATTTGCTCCCACCCTTCCAAGATTCTTACACACATCAATGGAGACTTTTGAAGCTGGACTGGAGAAAGCATTAGAAAATATGCTGCACTGGCAAAGTCTAGCTGAGCTAATACATCTTGTCCCTCTCTAATTTCTAGGTCTAATAAACTGCCCAGCTTAACCCCAAAATTCCTTGCCCACCTTTGACGTTATAATGATGATGAAAAATGGGTGATATTTACTCACCCACCGCAAAGCAAAACACAACATAAAACTGTTGTCCCAAAGAAGTAGGTGAGTAGAACTTACAAGAGCAGTCATAGTTGCATATTGGAACCATGCAAACACCACTTTCTCCTCATCTAAACCCACTCCTACGAATAAGGAAATGTGTGTGATTTACTGGAGATAAAGACAACCAGCAGTGTAAGACCATGTGCAATACACACAAGAGGCCGATCCAATGCCTATGAAGCCAATGGAAGTATTTCCATTAACATCAGAGGGACATGAATCAGGCCCCATATGAAAGACACTGAAGTGGGATCCTTAAAAGCTTTAAGTGACATAGTTTGTCAGTGGGATTTGTGCTCACACCGCACTTACGCACAATTAAAAATCCCACTTAGTGTGATCTACTGTTGGCCCAGGATCAGATTTGAGTGAACAAAGTTATCTGGGTTCAAAGCAACCAGAGAGGTACTGACTGGAAGTTTTTCTTTTTCAAAGTACTAACTTATACTAAAAATGTTCATATCTGTGACAATACAGTATATTTTATTTTTGTAATATGTAACGATATTCTATTGCTTATGATAAAATAAGTTTGTTTCTATTTATTAATTTTGATTATTATTATGCAGACCTGGGTCAGTGTCAGAAAAGGTGGGGCATTGGAGACTGGAATAATGACTGATTTTTTTCAACATGTTAGAGAGGTTTTCAGTTCCAGACGTAGAAATGTTCAGGGCTGCAAATGTCACCAGACTATCTATGAGAAACCCATGCACTTCAGGGGGGTTTGGAAGTTGGGTTTTTCCAGTGGCTGTTCTCATTATAATTGGTCAACCAAAAATCCCTCAATCTGAATGTCACAAATGGAGCCTAGGTGCGACGGGGTGCAAAGCCATTTGAGGCCCTGTGCTTTGGGCCTTGCAGTCCTATCTCAGCCCAGCCCAGGAAAAGGAGCAGTGAAGGTGGGTCCTCCAGGACAGCCTAGAAAGACTTCAGGGAAGCAGCCAATCAGCACACAGCAGGCTCAGTTAAAAGGAGCTACAGGAGTTGAGCAGGGCACTAGCACAGTTGCTGGCTGGGACCAGAAGGGTGAAGAAAGAGTGAAAGGCTCTGAGACATCACAGATAAAGAGAATGGGGAGAAACCCTGTTTCAGAGGCCTGGGAGAGGGAACCCTGGCTACAAAGTTGGCAGCAAAGAGGCCTTGAAGGAGACCCTAGGAAACCAGGACAGAGAAGGAGAAACTCTCCAAGCAGGGAGGCAAGGGAGGGATCCTACTCACATAAAGAACAGCTCATAAGCCCAAAATGGTGGTGGGACAGAGTGGGAAGCAGCCCAGGGAATGTAGCAATAGCAAGTAGTAAAGAAAGCAGCAAATGGCTGCTATTTGCACAGTCCCGGAGTTGGGACCCAGAGCATTCGGTGGACCTGGGTCTCCCCATTGGCAGAGTGGCCAAAGCCCCAGGGACACATTTTCTTGTGGGGCTCAAAAAAGGGCTTAGAATTTAAACAGGCCCAGAAATGGGGCTGAAGGCTCCAGAGAGGGCCAACCATCTGCTGACGTGACTTAGAGGGCGAAGGCTCTGAAGACCCACCTGAAGAAGGCACCTACCAAAGGGGTGCTGGGAACAGAAAAATGAAAAAATGAGGGATCCCACTCAGCTGAAAGTAGGCACTCACAAGAGACGAGTGTCTCCTTCCACCTCCCCCCTGCACACATGGTATACACCAAAAATGTAGATTGACCTATCACTTGGGAGTATAAAAATTCACACCCCTGAGTCCCACAATTACGCCAACCCTGGTGTTGATATTCTTCCCTCAGCCTATCTACTGGTGCTCAGGGGTGTGAGCAGTACCTACTCCTATAGTCAAACACCTTTTGTCAATGTAGGAAGCATCTGTGCTACAGGCCTCTACCTAATGCTATGTTGGCATAGCTGTGTCACCGAAGCTACATAGCCCACAGTGTAGCCCCACAGTGTAGACACAGCCTACACCAATGGAAGGTGTCCTGTTGGTGTAGGAACACCACCTCTCTGAATGACTGTAGCTATGCCAACAGAACTCTTCTGTCAGCCAACCTGTGTTTCCACCGGGCTTAGACTGGCATAGATACTTTGGTCAGGGAAGAGGATTTTTCATTCCCCTCACTATGTCAACCTACCTTTTAAGTATAGACCAATCCTCAGGCCCCAGTCCTACACCTTCCTCTGTGGGGGCCAAGCGCTGTATCCCCTTGAAACTCCTCTGTAGTCATTATGGTTCTGTGAAGTGACAGGGGTCTGCCCATGTGGAGTCACTTGCAGATTGAGGCTACACTGGGTTCCTAGTAACCCTCCTCAGGGCTACCTAATAGGAACTCCCTTCCCCCACAGCATGCCTTTCTCATGGCCCTTTAAATCTGGCAGAGCCATGCAGCTGCAGCCCTTCTCCTCTAGCCATTTTGAAACTGAGTGACATTGTGTCTCCTTCTGTTCCCCATGGTAAGAGCTCAGGCCTGGTTATGTTTCCCCCCATTTTCTCCTTCATTTTACCTGAGGGAACGGCACCGTCTTCTTTCCCTTGTTATCACTGCCAGGCAATTGCAGGAGATACACTCCCATCCCAGTGGGGCTGTTTGTTACGTCCAACTGTCAAAAAACACATCCCAATGTAAGCCTAGTTTCCCAGGCAACAGGCCCTGGGAGAAATATTTTCTGAGCCAAACACCAGGAAATCCATGAAACCCTCTTGGTCTGAATAGAAGATAGATTGACACTCCAGATACCATCCACAGCCAGCGAGAGACCATTGGGATACATCTACACTGCTCAGCTATTTCGGGATACCAGAGGTATCCCGAAATAACTACCCCATGTCTTAACAAGCTGCCCATTATTTCAAAATATTTTTCAAAATAATAGGAGCGCCATTTTGACATCCCTGTAACCCTCATTCTGCGAGGGCTAAAGGATGTCTCGAAATAGTGCATTATTTTGAAATTTGGTGCTGTGTAGACGTTCCAAATTTCAAATTTCAAAATAGAATTGAAAAAAGATATGCAATTTGCGTAGTGCACATTGCGTATCTTATTTCAAGCTTAGGGTGCTGCGTTGACGCACCCTGTGTAGATGCACCTTTGGTGTCCAACCCTAAATTCTGAGGGGGCAGAGTCTGCCTGTCTCTCTGAAGGCAAAGAATTTCCAGCCCTAGTTCCCCTCTGGGAAACCTCAAGCATGGAGTTGAATTTTTTTTTCTAAGTTTAGTTCTCGGAGCTGGTCACAAGTTTCCTCAATGGAACAGCAATAGCCCAGCCCCCGGTTCCTTGGCAGATCATCAAGTGGGCTGCTAAGGAGCTGGGGGCCAGAAATTCTGGCAGTCCTAACTCCCTGGCCCCCTTGTAGTTGGCATGATGGGTTGCTGAAGAGTTGGGACTTTTCAAGGCTCACCACCTCTTAGGCTCCCTAGCTCTTTGGCAGCTTGCCTGGTAGGCTGTAAGCCTCCTGGGAAGTGTGCTTCTTTTCGGAAACACCTACATATCCTGCTGCTGGGACATTCTGGTGCTTCAGAAACAAAACATTGTATAGAGATAAGGCCGTGGATGCCTACAGGAGTCTCTCCGTTCAAGCAAGTAGTGTGTTGCTAGCTATACAAAGAGACCGTGTAGAAATTCTCAGCTCCACGCCACCAGGGCTTGAAAACGTGCAAGGATTTTCTTTCTGGTGCTTCCTACCTGCTGGAAGGAGTCCAAGGTTGGCCTGTGACATGGTTTTCAGGCACCTCTAGTCCCAGCTGGAATCTGACTCAATTAACAAAATTAAAATGCATTTCTGGGATCATCAAGACAGCTTGGGTTCCAATCTGCTGTGGAGTTGACACCCATAAAAGGATTAATATTAGGGCTGTTTGAACATTAATATGTTTGATCAGTACCGCAGGCCCTTGGGATTGACAGG